ACATTTCGATATGACTTTATAACTTTATCAATATCATCATTGATTCTGGGCACTTCGTCATCAAACTTATCATCTCTAGGAGTGATATCAGAAAGGATTATTTTTGCATTAGGAAAGGCTGACATAGCTTTCTCTACTAATTTAATTTGATTGTTTATAATTTCTTCCGGCGTGAGATGTTCAACATCGTTTACACCTGTGTTAATGATCAAACCTTTGTTGACCTTAAATCTGGGGGTGTCGATAATTTCCATGGCTTTAGTTGTCGTGTTACATGGTATCATTTTACTGTTTCTATTGTTGCAAAGTCTATTTATGTTTAAAAACTTTCTATTAGAGTCGCACAACATAACAAAATCATAGTCGTGTATCTCATTATCTTTATTATCCACAAGACTTTTATCCTGGGGTTCTCCGTTTCCTTTCTGTTGAATAGCGGTGGGCTCTGCAGTTGATATCTCTTCGCTTGTAATAGGAGCATGATGTCGGTCTTGAGGAGTGCTTACTGTGACAGGACTTGTCGGATTTGTTACCTTAATCTCCGGTGGAATTTCCGCCCGCAAAGTCTCCGGTGGTAAAATTTCGCTGTGTTGCTTTACAAAATTGTCATGCAACGATAAAACTTGGCCCTTTAAAGATTCATTCTGAATTTCTAGCTCTTTGACTTTTTTAACGAGGTTGCCTTTCTCTTCAAGTAACGATCCAACTCTGCCACGTATCTTAATTAACTCAGACTCAGCCTTGCTAACTTTCGTGCTAAATTCATCTCTAAGTTGGTTCATTTCGTTCCTTACAACGGTCAGTTCATGCTTTAGGTGGCTGTTCAAAGTGCTTGGTAAATCGTTTATATGTGCTTCTGCTAGTCTATCATTTAAGATGTTTATTTCAAAATCCGACAAGGCCAAATCTTTGTCTAGTTTGTTGATAAAATTTTCATGTGTATCAACACGCTTATTAATTTCATTTAAGTGATCTATAATTTTGCCCAGTTCTAAACTTTGGTCACTGGAAACTGTTGACTTGACCTTCTTCTGTACAGAATTTTTGAGTGGTGACTTGTTATTACATTTTGAAAATTTATTTGAAGTATGGCGTGGTTTTAGGGGAGATGAAACTCTGGTTTTTCTAGTAAATGGAGTTGTTTGGACGTCATTAGAATCTATGCTCTCAACATCGGACACAACGTATCCGTCTAACGAAACTCCGTCTAGGTTTAACATTGCGGTCGACTTTGTTGCATTATCATCGTTACAATAAAACACCTTCGTGAAGAGATCGCTTGCTGTTGGGTTCGTCAGTTCTCCTGTTGCGCAGAATTCCGATACCAGATCTTGTAGCTTAATAAATTCTGTTTTTTTCCAGAATTTCCTGTATCGTCCTTGGATAGTTAACTTCATTCTTGGTATATCAACATATATTGAGAAAAGCGGATCAGTATCGCTTTGACTGGCAAATAATTCGTCTTCTTCTAGACTTTGGCATAACGTAATAATAATATCGACTAAGTTGCCTTCCAAATTGAGTTTCTGTTTCCAATTTACGTTGTACTTATCCTGATTCCCAAAGTCAATCCAATATCGCAGTTTCAAGCATTTTAGCCAATTATCAAAACGAATTTTATCATGACATTGGATACATATTTCACGTTTCAATGACTTTGCGGTTTCAAAGCGCTCTTGCTTTATAACTTCACTTAAGTGCTGCGCGTCGTCATGAATATTTGACTGCTCGTTTTCTGAGATTTCGCTTTCCATAACTGAGTCTTGTAAACTCATATTTATGACAAGAAACCTTGTAAATATTGTAAAAAGCTAACCGGCGGCAGGACAAAATTTTTGTCGTGTTGCTGCCATGATTACCGTCTTAATTAGCCTATAGTCTCCACGGACCAAAATGTATCTGAAACTTGTCGTAAAGCGTCTGATGTTTGTTTACATTCAACTGAGGCACGTATAGGATACATGTGGGACAATCGGTTGAAAAATATAATTGAAAAATATTGCTGTAAACAACAGCGTAGGAAGTTCAGCAATTTTTTTTTTTGGGGGGGGGAACTAACTTATATAAGTAAAGTTTGTCATTATACTAATAGTGCCATAGAATATTCTGAAATCTAAACACTCTGACATGGTAAATTTCGCCGATTTGAAAAGCCTTTTCGTGAAACATTATTTAGACAGTTTGTCAACTACTCTACATGATAATTAACCAGAGACGGAGTAGTCAATCGTCAATGTAGCCTGATACTCAGGTTTCATAATAATAAGCAATTTCGCTATCAATTCACAATTTTCGAACTTCCTGGCAATGAATGAGACATGAGTGCACAGATACTGAATCGTGAGGGGTTGATATGATGTTAATTGTGCACCCAGTCATGGTGCACGTCATGCATGCAAGGGCAAGGACTCATTTTCTGTCCACGGGCACGGCCGGCAAGGAGACAAAATACGCGCTTAGTTTTATAATGCAACTGGCTGCATCCAGATGACAGTTGATGAGAATTACACTCATGATGCACTCATCAACTCTCATGATACTCTTTCATCAACTCTCATCAACTTTGAACTAGTCAAACTTTGATGAGAGTTTTCGCTACGCGCGCGGTAATGTCAACTCTCACGCAACTGGGGCGCGCGAGAGTTGACTAGTTGAGAAGTCTCATGCAAACTCGCGCTTCTCAACACTAAACACCCTTAATTAAACACTGATGCTGGAACTGCATGGTGCTTTATAGAATACGGTTGTATTCTATATTGTACAAAAAAAGAAATAGAAAGTACTAGTGAAGTTAGCTCGACTATAAAATAACGACGAAAAAATTGGAACTGCAATGTAACTATAGTCCTGCAGTGAACTTTAAGAATTTACTGTTTTTATTAATTTAATAATAGAATGTATGTTGTTGGGGAATTCATATATTCTCTGGACATCTGAAAAACATCCATCCAAGCTGTGACTGAACTGTAGCAGGAACAGCAAGCAAGCAGAGGTGAAGCAGTTAGTATATATAAATAAACAGGCTTCCATAATAGGAAATAAGGAATTCTAATTGCTGTTTTTTAATGTATACCTGTATTATTTTCTGATAATATTTTGATATTCGTTTGATATTTTCTGATAATTTTCGTTTAATTTAATAAAACTATTAATTAAAGTACTTTTCATTCCGCTTGGCTCTGTTTAAATTTTCAAGATGCCAGTATTGGCATGAAGAATTTGTTTTCTGCCTGTTTAGACATCGCATGATTCATGCATATTCAAAAATTAAAGCGTAGGTGTATGTTGATGTGAAATGCTAAAATCTGTTTACTTTTTGATAAAAGCCAATATTTATTTCCTGTATTTGAAAAACAATTTTAACATTCTTGGGAATAATAACTCGAAATTTCATATAGTTACCAAAAAATATATCCTGTCAGTAGTTTCGTGAAGTTTGAATGATGTCAGTGTTTTTATGGGGTTTTTTTCTAGAAGAGGCTGAAGAGCAACAAAATATAAACTTTCCTTTTAAAATATTTTTGTTTTCCCGGACATCAAGCAGTATGATCACAGCGATGATGACAGCAGATTTTTTCAAGTACAACGGAACTGTTTTTACGAGAGGCAGGGCGCGACGATTTTGAAACTCGATATTTTGAAGCACGTCCCAAACAATTTGGCGTTTCCCGCTAATGTTTGGGCTTGGCAAAGTGATGAGGCTTGACGTCAGTAATATCTCTCCAGGAAGATTTTAGAGAGTATAAAAGTTGGCATTCAACTGTTCCTTGTCAGTTGTGTGAGGATCATAAAACAAAGAACATTGAAGTGAAAAAAATTGGTTTATCAAGTTCTGAAAATGTTGAGAAAATTGTCTTGTCTATTGGTAATATGTATCGTCGCATTCACACATGGTAAGTGTCAGTCCTCAATATAAACGCATTATCACTGATTTTACAATTTGATACCGAGGCGGGCAATCAGACTAGGTCAAAATATCACGGCAAAATTAATAGCATGCATGACGGCGCAGGAGAAAGTGAAGAGTATTGTATTAAAATGCAGTCGTATACTTCACGGTCATCGATCTTGGTTATAGATGCTGTAAAAGATGCAATCATATACTTCACGGATCTGCGCGCTTGCTTAATTATGACGCTGTACGTAGACGAAATGTATTATTCATGTACTATTGTACATATACTCAGTGTATAAGTACATTGTTAATACGGTTCAAGTGGCTCAGCGAGTCCAAAGGAACTGAACTGTAGAGTTCTTGCTATAGATCCATACATGACTGATCGATAAAGAAGCGCTGTTTGTTTACAATATTTGCATATTCACCTTGACCGAATGACCTCTATATGAAAACGATCGAAAATTCATTCGAACTTTCACAAAAACGCAGCGATACACAACCCATACACGAGTTTTTATAGTGTTAAAGTGCATGGTGATAAGCTTATCGTCTTAATATATTTGCTTTGGTAACGATTGGAAGGACTATTTATTGCGGAAAATATTCTAATTAACCACGTGAATTAACTCATTGGGCTGTTTACTTTATATTGCTCAACCAGAACGTCGCAGTCATGCTGTCAGATTTGTTTTGTCTTTTCCACAGGAAATAGCTGTCTCGCGAAGAAACTGAATGAATTGAATCAGTTAAACATTTCTAGGCCCCCAAAAAACTCCAAAAAACTAACGAAATGTGAGTTTTGAGAGAGTCTAACTGCTTGCATGGTCACAGATGACGAAATCGGATCTTCAGACAATCGCCTTCCGTGACAATATTTCTTGGCAAAAATAATAGTATTTCCGCAGTTGACAACAGCGTGTACGATTTTAAGTGCTTAAAGCACTTAAAATCTATATAATTAAATACAACATGAAAAAGATAAAAATGTTCAGTTTATATTACATGTCTAATTCGTAACAAGAAAAAGTTTTTAACTGTTTAGAAAAGTCGGATGAAATTTTTTGGATTCTGTTGTTTCGGTAGAAGACAAAACATACTCGCGAGATTCAGCAGAGAACGCTGCATGCCAAATACTGAATAAACGTAACGCTTTTCACAAACCAAATACAATTCTAGTAATCCTATGCAACCTTTATTGAATTTTCGTGAATTTCCAGTGACCAAGATATGTTATAAATGTCTAAACGTTTCAAATTTTCCATCTACTAGGTGGTGTATTGCGCACTACAAAAGTACATGACGACGACTCGTGTAGTGAAATGTACGTCAATTGTACGACAAATGAGGATTGTTGTGGCTTCATGAGATGTCTAGATTTTGGTAAGTTAAACGCGAGAGTATATGGTAGAAATCTTATATGCTCTACTAAGTCTTTAACTAGTTTAAGGCCCCCGGGCCCACCCCCATGTTTTTAGATGAGAAGTTTATTAGCCCCTTCAGCTAAGCCACACGCCTCTATATATGCCCCTTCACGTGTTTTGCTCGCTGCAGGTTTTGGTAAAATCGATAACCCTGTACAAGACCCTCGGGGGGGGGGGTATATAATGCTAGGAACTGTGCAATATGAACAATAGTTTGAATATCGAGGTTTGGGTAACTGGGAAAGAGAGAGAGGGATGAAGTAGGAGGGGTGAAGTAGGAGGGGTGAAGTAGGAGGGGTGAAGTAGGAGGGGTGAAGTAGGAGGGGTGAAGTAGGAGGGGTGAAGTAGGAGGGGACAGAGGGGTGAAGTAGGAGGGGAGAAGTAGGGTGTGGTATGAGGAATTGTGCATCAATATATGAATAATATAATGGGAATCAAATAATGTAGCCATAAAGTCGTAGATGTGACAAATCGTTTTTCAACATCAACGTACTATATAATGCATTGCATTAAAATGTGATTGTTTGTCGTTTAGGTAGTGGTGACCAGTGTATGTATGGCACAGACAATCCTCAGATAAAGTCAGTGGGACAAGCTGTTCAACCTCCAGTTGATCTTATCAAAAACCTTGGTTGTAGTTTGATTGCACAAACTTGTGAAACGCTGTTGGACTGTTGTGCACCCTACGTTTGTTCTCGTAAGTATCTTGTCTTGCGATTGCTGAAACAAAAATAATTGTTTGAAAATAATTCATGTAAGCCCCCTATAGATAAGAAATTAGTTGCTTTTGGGGCAAACATTTGGAAAATTGTTTTTAAATCAGTAAAAAAAACCCCAAAAAAACAGAAACCTTTTATACAAGACGATAGTATTCGGAGTGTTCCGATTCACTTCTACATATTTCTTGAAACAGAAAGAATAAGTGATGTGATTATAAAGACTTGTTTCCTGAAAACATATATTTAATAAGCCAACTTGCGTCATAAATTATAGAGCAACATTTTTCATAGTGTTGGGAATGCCTTCAGAAGCTTAGTGTGAAAAGCATGCAACTTTATTAGTTGGGAACTAGAAGGGTTTTGCACCTGCATTTGCATCATTTCGAGAGACAGAATCATGCAGTTTATTTTGCAGGGGGCTG